GCAGGGTCTTGCTGTGAGCCAGCCCTACCCACCCCTGAGCCACTTCCAGAAACAGACAAGGGGACAGAGGCTTAGACACATTCAGAGTCGATGGCAGCCAGGGAGCGCCTGACTGGACGCGCATGTGGGCTGCAAACACACGCACTTTCCACCCACCTTGGTCGGCCTGCCCACTGCTAGGTGCAATGCCAGACTCCCACAAACTGAAAGAGGGGGGCTTAATTTGGCTCACATCTTAAGGGCATTCAGTCCATGGTGAGTTAGCCTAAGCCAGGCCCACCATCATGGTAGAAGTGTCCTGTGGAGCAAAGCTGCTCTGTTCATGGAGACCAGGAAGCCCAGCAGGGGAACGGAACCAGAGACCGAGGGCTGGGGCCCAGAAATCTCCCTGGCCCACCCAGACACGCCCATGAGCTTGCTCCCCAAGCCCTCTGCACAATTCCTGAGCCAATCAAGTAACACAGTCAGGCTTGCTCACAGCAGGGACTCTGAGATCTAGTGGGGGTGTGTGTGGTCACAACCACAACATTCTCTAAAACCACAAACCTTCGACTCAGCTGGTGCTCCGTCTTGAACACATCTTCCCAAAATGTAGGTATTGAGACCTCGCGGCTAGTGCGATTGGATCGAGGGTGGGGCTTAGCTGGCCTTAGGCCTGAGGCTCCGCCTCTGGCACTGGGAATCAGGTCCTTGCAAAGGTTTCCAGGCAGCACACAGCTCTGGCCCCCTGCCTTTGGCTATGCAAGTATGTGGCACCAGGAACCACACTGGCAGCAGAGAGCAGCTCTCACTAGACGCTCCACCCCCTCACTGGATCTCGGACTCCCTACTGGGAACAAATGCATTTTTGTTCTAAGTTATCCAATCAGAGACATTTTGTTAGAGCAACACAACGTTTGCTAGCAAATGATGTCTCTGTGTACGTAGTTTGTGGCAGGCTACAGAGTGCACTCACGTTTACTGCAGTGCATCAGGTGACAAAACTGTAAGGCTAACTGAAACATATGAAGGGACACGTGCCCCCAATCTTTCAGTGCCTGCGGGCTGCATGTGGGTCAACAGGGAGAGGAGATAGCATACGTGTTAGGGTAAGACGCTGCAGCCTGTGCCCATGGCGTCTCGGCCCTGTGCCCTGCTCCTGGGAGGCACGGTCAGCTCCAGCTTGGACAGCGACTACCAAACAAATGACAAGTGCTGCGCCAAAGCCTTCATGTCGGGATGTGCTGCGTGCCAAATCAGCGAGCTTTGGGCAGTGAGTGCCAAGGTGCAACTGTCCTGACGCCGAGCGGCAGTGCAGGCTCTTTGTGACACTTGGGCAAGTGCCACAAGTGGTGGCTCTAAGTATCTGGGAGGAGGATCCCCCTGCCCACCATGCACGCTCAAGCAGCATTTGATGGGACTGGGAGGGGCTGCCCTGAATTCCAGGGAGACCAGTTCAGAGCTCAGCGCCCCCACCTGCACCCTCGCCATTTAGAGGAGGCTAGTGAGTGGAGGAGTCCTCAGCATCTCTCAGCTGGCGAGAGAACCGCTTTCCACACTCTATTCTTTTTACCAAAGTGGTTCTGTGCTGGCAAAAACCCGAAGCCACCACATGCTCATCAGGAAAATCGCAACTCCAGGACACAGCGGTGGGAAGCTGTGAATCGCGGTCTCTGGCCTGCTCCTGGGAAGCAGTGAGGCCGCCCTGAGCTCGGCCCAGGGCCCAGGGTGGCATGGAGCCCAGGTCCCCGTGGCAGGCAGTGCGCTGGCTTCTCGCCCACTAGACTTGCAGACCCCGAGCAGTAGCGAGACACAGCACCCAGGCCCAGGGAGCCAGGGCCGCCGGGGCTGCAGGACAGCTGCTCCTGCCCCGCAGTCTCCAGTCAACTTTTGGGATGAAAATAGTAAGGAAACTCTTCCTCTGTCGCCCTCCCCAGAGTGTCCTGCCCCACCTCGGCCTGGGGCTTCGGACCGTCTTCCTGGGCCGCTAACCCCAACTCCGTGTCTGTTCATAGCCACCAATCTATTCAGAGAAAGTCTTAGCAGCCCTCGGCCCCGGCATCGCCCTCCTTAAGGGCCAGGTCTCCCTCAGGGCCTTCCCAGACTGCTCCATGCTGCTTGTGTCCTCCACCTTCACATCCCACTATTTTTGTTCATTGTTTTACATTTAAAATACCAAACTTTATTAAACACCCTCAGCTGGGGCCACCATCTGTTCCAACTGTCCTCACCTAGTAACTTTCTCGATTTGCCACTTGATTGTAATACTCTTATGGAGCATTCCACTCGCATTTCAGGTTTCATCTAAACGAAACAGTGAGGGTCGGAAGGCTCCTCCTGCAAACCTGGGCCCTGCACGCCAAGCACCAACTTGCTCACAAACAAAGCAGTGTCGCGGGGGTGCAGACCGACCCTCAATGCGGCCTGTGGGTGTGGAGAGCTCAGGAACTGAGGCTCTGGCCAAATAACGAAGCTCTGACGTCCGCACTCACTTTTTTCAGACAGGGAAACGCCCCCACCTCACTGGGGTAGAGGCAAGGACCAGTGGGGCTGTCCTGCCCGAAAGCTCAGATGGACCTACGCACGCTGCAGGAGTTCCATAAGCATCAGCCATAGCTCCTCCCCACTTTCCAGAGTATCTTGTGACACAGCATGGGGAACCCTTTACTAAGATGCTTTTCTGTCTCTCAAAGGTCCGGATTACAAAAGGGACCACTTACCTAAAGTTCAGCAACACACCTCGTACATAGGAGAAAAGAGTCCAGAGTCAGAAAAGACGGGAGACCTCCTGTACCTATGGAGACCTGCCTCAGACCGAAGTGTGCCAGCCAAGTACAAGCACGAATACGTCGGGGAGGTCGGCTGGGGCATCCCCAAGTACAACTTCATCAACAAGTCAAGGCGCGCGAGTGGCTTCCATATCAAGGTATTGCTGGGAAACCTAGGCTGTTCATGGTATCATGTTTCCTGGTTTAAAGTCTGAGGTCGCTTCCACACATGATGTCAGGGATCTGCGAAAGGATGGGCTTTGAGTTCTGGAGAAAGATAGATGTGTGAACTGTGCACTTGCTACCACGGTGCCCTCAGTCCCTCTTAGTCCAGGGAGGAAGACAAAGGCGCATGCACCCCTGCAGCATCAGCGTGTGGCCATGGGCTGCAGTTACAGCAGCACCTGTGCTGAGGTCCTCACCCTGGCATGGCTTCTGGGGCAGGTGGAGTGGAGGAACCCGTGTGGGTGGAACCCACAGGGCAGGGCAGGAATCGCAGGCCTCCAAACGCCACAGTTCTCAGTGTGCGGCCCAGTCCTGCTGGGCAGTCGGTCTCCCAGGCACCTGGTCCCATCTCCTCTTGGGGACGTGGTCCACACCCGTGTCTGCAGAGAACACAAGGATTTTAGAAGGCAAAGTGGAAAATTCAGATACCTTCTTCCAGCGGGCCTTTGAAGGGCCTGAAAGCTGCACGTTATGCGATAGCCAGGCTTCCTCGGATTCTGAGGGCTGTACGGTATGGTCTCCCACTTGTAAGGATTAACAAGAGAAAAACCTTTGGCAGGCCCGGCCTTGGGACCGACAGGGGCAGGGCTGGAAGCTCAGACTGGGCTGGGCAAGCGCAGGGTCCTGAGTTGAATCCCCAGTACTGGAAAAAAAAAAAAAAAAAAGTCAACGTGGCTCCTACAACGTGGGGGAAGGCCCAGGCTGGTGAAGCTGGGCTTCACCTGGGGCTAGCCCTGTGATGCATGCAAATGAGTTTGCCCCTCTGTGGCCCTTGTTGCAAGATTCTGGATTCCTGTCTCAGTTCTGCACCTCGGAGCTCTGCGTAGCTTGGTCACTGTCCCTACTTCAGGTGGGCATGGTGCAGCACACTCCTGTAATCCCAGCTCTCTTGGAGGCTGAGGCAAGGAGGATTACAATTTTGAGCCCCACCTGGGCTAATTTTCCTTCGGCACCCAGGTGTGTCCCACTCTCCGTCCTGGGACGGTGCTGGGCTGTTATTTGAGTCTGGTCTTGTACTTCCATTCCGTCTAGACCCGCTGCCCTAGGCAGCAACTCCAGCAGTCAGACCCGGCGGGAGACCTGGTCCTGCATGTGCAGTCTGCCAGTGCTGCCGCCTGCTGAACAGCCTGGGACAGGAGCGTGGTGGGCTCTGCCGTGCGTGTCACGCGCGGAGTGCCTCGTGCCTCCCTGTTCTGTCCCTGGTGCCCAACTTTCTCTGCCTCTGGCCCGACCCTGGCACTCCTTGTCCCACGAACACAGACTCGTGTCTGCAGGGTTTTACAGCTCTAACAGCTGCTCTTTCTAACTTACGGCTCCAGACCAGTGCTGCAGGGCCTCTGTGAGCTCGAGGTGGAAGGCAGGGCAGCTGGGGCCAGCCTCTCTCCGCGCAGGAAGGAGCGCCTTCTGCACCCGCTGGCTTCTGGCAGGAAGATCACAGCTTCCACGCAGGGTGACTCCTGAGAAAATTCCCCCCACATAGCCCGGCTCAGTTAAAAAAAAAAAGAAGAAGAAGAAAAGAAAAAAATTCACAAGCTAGGCTTTCTTTTCTGAATTTTTGTGTGTTTAGACATTTCCTTCTTACTGTTACAAGGCCATAAGAATGCGTGTGTACGTGGAAACAGTGGTAATAATTCCTGTGGTTTCGACCCCCAGCTAACTGAGAAGCTTTCTTATTTTTTCTTTTTTGGGTATTTGATGACTTCTTCTAATGGCCTCTCAGCCAGTCACGTCTCATTGTCCCAGCCTGTCTTTAATCCAGACCTCAGCAGGGTTGGTGACTCCCTGATGCCATTTTCTGCTCAACATGGCAAAATGATTGAAGTCATTTGCTTTTCCCAAGAAATGATGTCATGTGGACTCAGTCACTAACTCTTCACTGGCCTAACCCCAAAGACAATATTAAATCAATCAATCCTGATATACATGTGGCAACTAATACATTACACTGTAAACAGCTTTTAAAACTCCAAGCAAAACCGTGGACATCATTCATACATCCATATGTGATATAGTAACTACCATTTAGAGGCTTTGACACTTCTGCATCGTTTTTAACTGCCACAGCTCTGCCATCATGCACTGGAGGCGTCTGTGGTTCCTGGACATTTGAAGCGATTTCCAAGGAGATGTTGAATTTTGCAGGGGTTGGCGGGGTGAGCTCGCTCTCAGTGCTGTGGCTTCTTAGAGATTCTTCTCACTGTGACTTTGTCTACACAAGAAAAACACAAAAGAGCTGCAGTGGAAGGCGTGTCGGTGAGGGCAGCCTGGCGCTGGCCCTGGCTACCGGGGGGAAGTGGAGCCACAGCGGGTGAGCTCGTGCTCTGAGGCTGCACAGCGTGACAGCGGCGAGATTCAGACAGCTGAGTGGGTTCCAGTTGGGACCAGGGGCCAGTTTCTCTCTGAAGTCACTGTCCTGTAAAACAGGTGCGAGGGTTTGTGTGATGTCTCCCCAAAGCCTCATGAGGTCACAAGGGCTTCTGGGGCTGGCTGGATAGAGAGTGGGGATGGACTGGAGGTGCAGTGCTGTGATAAAAAGTGGCAATTGCTGGATCGGTCCTGATTCGATCGGATCGGCACCACCCTGATCCTGGTGGCTGCAAGCAATATAAGGGGCGGAAAGAGGCGTGTCTCTTCTGTCTCCATTGTGCTTTTGCCGTCTTCCACCACCATGGCCTGTGGCTGTGCCACCCCACCTTTGAGCCAGCGATCATGGATTAAAACCCCTATAAACTGTGAACTAAGTAGACTTGCCCCCTTTATCTTTGGCTGTCGGGCACTTTGTCCTGGTGATGAGGAAGACAGCTAACAGCAGCATCTGCAGGGCCACTCCAGTCGCCTCCTCCAGTAAAGCAAGTTTCCGGCTCCTCGGGATTCGTCCAGCTTCGAACACAGTCTCTTTCATTTAGAATAATGAAGACACTAAGAGGTAGCACCCATGAAATTGCTGTAGCACAGCCTGGTAATTTTAAGCCAAACCCGTAGGGGGTGTCCTCCCCTTCGACAGATGCACTCCCAAGGGCAGCGCTGCCAGTGTGGAGTTGCTTAGTGTGGATTATTATAGACACCAAAGTATATTGCAGAATTGTTGCAGGACTTTCCTCATCCTACTTACGTTCGGGCTCATTTAGAGCAATCACTAAAACCGCCACGAGTTTTGAGTTTCATAAAACAATCCAAATTTCTAGATGTTATTATCCATGTAGGAGATCCCCCCCCCCCTGCAGAACCAGGGATTGGACTCAGGCCCTTGCGCTTGCCAGGGAAGCGCTTATTCTACTGAACCATCTTCCCAGCCCCTAACATAGGGGATTTAAAAAGATAATAATGCTTCACTTTTTTGCCCAAACTGTGAAAGCAAAATAAAAAATAGCTTTTCTAATGTTAGGTATGTGCTCTCTTCCTAGATGAGTAGGCCTCGTTCTCACTTCTAACTGCTTATGGTTGTCCGCGTCCAAACAGTTCGTGGTTCGATATAGAAATATTCACATTAGCACCTTTCCTTCTTCGGCGCCCTATGAAACAATGCGTCTCCCAGGACTCCTGAGGAGTGCGGCACCGTGTGCTGCCACCTGTGAGGCTGCTTGTGTCGAGGTCCAACCTCAGCCTGCAGGGAGCAACCTGAGAAGACAGGAAAGTGGGCAAGGAAGAAAAAAGACAGAGACGTAGTGCGGCTAGGAGGGAAGAAGAGCGTGTCTCTTCAATCTGAGCAAAATCAGTAGCCTTTGTTCATACATGAAGGGCTGAAGAAACTTTCTTTATGAAAAGATCAACTGATGCATGTGGCTTTTCCTCTCCAAGTGAGACACAGTCTAAATTTTGATCGATATGAGTACCCGGTGTCCCCAAGGAGTAGACATGGAACTCAATCAACCTTTGCTCTTTCTGTTCTGAATATTTCTGCCCTAGGACTTGCTAAGCCCTCGAGGTATTTTCTCACTGCCTCAAGATCTTGCCTGCAAGCTTCCTTGGTATTGTTCAAGACCCTTGGCTTAGGCTCATCCCTGTCTGCAGGCTAAGAAGGTAGGGGGAGGGAGGGGTAAGGAGTCAATCTCTGTAAGAACCTTGTGCACCTGTTCTTACTACACCAAGACCCGGGTGGTCAACTGTGCGCCCTCCTCATGCCAGTCGGAAGCCCAAGAGCCCAGGGGACCATAAAGGCACATCCCCATGAGGCTCTGCCTTGCAGGCCCTCCAAGCCTGACGTGACTTTGTCAGTAGTCAGGCAGTAGAGGGCTCTCCATACATTTGTTTCTTCCTTGAAAATAGCATAGTAACACTATATTGATCTCCTTTTACCCCAATATTATGTCCCCCATCTTGCAAAGCTTAGCTTTATACTTCTTCAAGTAACGTGAAGGAAGTCGCTTCCATATAAAATCTCAGTCCACCCTGAACTTCCAGAAAATAAGAGTTCAGGGTTGATGCTTGCATTCTCTGAGAGACCCTTGGAGGAAGAAGGGCTGCACCCTCGGCCCCACATCCAGAGCGGCTCTAGGAAGAAGAGAGCGCCTGGACCTGGATGGGCAAGGGGCCGAGAGCCGGTCCTGCCGCTGCGCGTGTGTGTGGAGTCATCGTGTGGGGGGCGGCCAGCAGGTGCCAAGTTGCGGCAGGCTGGGCAAAGCGTTTTGGGTGACTGTAGACAGCCGCGATGCATTGGATATTTCAAAACTCTGGAAGCAAGGGGCTTGAACGTTCTCATCTAAAGAAACGGAAAATGTTAAGGACTGTGCTCAGCCTGATTTAAAGGCCGTGCAGTATGTGCGCATAGAGCATTACGCTGGGGACACACTAACACGCACAACTTTTGTATTCCTAAACTATCAGTTAAAAACACAATTTTTCAAATGTTGAGAAACTTTTAAAACATAAGTTACCAAAGAACACTAGGCTGAGCAGCTGGAGACATCGCTGCACCGGACAGTGCCCACATGGC